GCCAGCCCCACATCCACAGCCAGCCCCACATCCACAGCCAGCCCCACGGTCAGGGCTTTCCTCAAAGATCAACCGCTGCCAGAAGTGTGTGTGCCAGATTGTGGGTATCTCAGCTACCCAGCGTAGAGCCTGAGACAGGGAAGGGCCCCCTCTGGCTTCCTCTCCCAGAAGATAAACGTGACATGCCCATCTCTGTTCCCTCACCTAACACACAAACATCTGTGTCCCTGATGTGCTGCACACAGCAGAGGACTCCCCTGTGCCCCAGTGGCATTGCTCACCCCAGAAGCAAGAGTGAAAACATCAACACTGACTTCTGTGGCTCAAAGATAACAAACCTCCAACCCAGTGCTGGGGGCTGCAGCAGGCATTTACCTCCCAGCACCAAGAGCCTTTTGCCTTCTTCTGCGACGCAATGGGGAAATGTGATTGGAAGGAAAGTTTCTGGACTGAAAAGATGCAGGAGCGTGAGACCAGAGTGGAACACGATAAACACTTTGCAAGAAAGTAAATTTTTGATATGCTACAATCTAAAACCTATTTTTTCCATATGAGACCACACAGGAAATTTGAATTTTCTCAATATCTCTGCTTTTGTGAAAAACAGCCTGGGTTTAAGGAGCTATGACTAAGCACGCAGAGAAAATGAGAAAGTCCCCTAGCTGTTGCTCCTTCCAGAAAAACAAACAAATAATGAAAGCAATAGAAATAGATAAGAACTTTCAACTCCTGCAACTGCTTATCACATCGAGACAATCTAAACTGCCGAATGAGAAAGCCTAAAGATGGATTAATAACAGGGCTAGAGGGCCAGGAAGCTTCCAGCCCCGCTACGAGCAGAGAAGCACAGGAGGTGTGGAAGGGGATGAGGAAGGCAGGGAATTAGGGGACTCCCAGCTCAGGTCCCACTGCTCATTACAAGGCAAGCTTCCCCTCCGATGCTGCAGATGCGCTCTGCCATCAGTCGCAGCGCAGCTCGCCGTGCAGACTGGGCTGAGCAGCTCCAGCAGCTCCCTGTGAACCACTCTGAAAGGCCACTGGAAATGTGACACCAGGCATGGAACACACATGGCTGCATGGCACCAAAAGCAGCCGGTGAGCGAAGGGCATGCAGCAATGCCAGCTGCTCCGGGGCACAGCGGGACCAGCAGAGTTCCTGCTCCCATCAGTCACTAAGGGACCCAAACCCCACACACCAAATACCTCCGATTCCCATAAGTGCCAATCGCCATTAGGGGCACTAAGCTTCTGGCCCAGAGAAACCACCTGGACTGTCCTAAATTTCAAAGCCTCTGTCATCAGCCAAACGAGATCCTCCCCTTCCTGAGGCTCATTTGGTAAGACATTGGCTGACATCCCTGCTTACCTTGTTTATAAAACTGACTTAATGCACAGAGACTCCAAATTAGTTTAGTTTGAAAAAAGGGCATTACCAGCAAACCACACTGTCCATCACATGAGGGAATATTTCAGCCAGATGCTGGAACCCCATTCTGAGGTCTGTTTTGGTATAACAAAGTATATAAATATATTATATATATATACATATATATATATATATATATATATATTCAGTGTCTTCTCAGCTACAAGCTACAACACTCCTAACCGCCCCAGAACTATTGGCAAAGGCAGGGTTGGGAAGCTCTTAGTCTTCCCAGAAAATGCCTCTATCACACATTGTGACTCGGTGTAGGGAACCTGCTTTGGCAGGGGGTTGGACTCAATGATCTCTGGAGGTCCCTTCCAACCCCTACAGTTCTGTGATTCTGCCTTCAATATTGGGAATTTTGGACTTCCTGTCAGACAATAGGAAGAGGAAGCAATGCTGCAATAACAGACCAGGCTCAAGGCGTTCAGTTCAGGGGCGCCAAATCATCCTTGGAGGAGAAAATCACATCCTCTCCAATCAGCTTTCAATTCAAACAGCTTCTCTGGCCATTATTTAAAGCAGCCCAAGCCCCCAGCCCCGCTGCATGCCCCCCCCAGCACACCAAGAGCCCAGGTCTGTGCCTCTGAGTGCAACCAAAGGAAGCAAAGCCAAGGCTGCCACCTCCAGGCTGCAGGGCTCTGCTGAGCCACAGCCTGCTTTCACCCCAGAGCCCTAAAGCACCTTCCCAAACTGGGATCAACAGTTTGAAAAGCCACCCAAAATTCATGGCAACAGGAGATAAGAATACTTAAATGAAACGTGCAACGCACTCCGGCCTTACAGGCGTGCATGGCTGCATGCTGGGTTTGGCACGCTGGCCTCAGCCCCACAGACAGGTGCAGCACAGCCCCCAGCAGCACACAGCAGTGTCACCCTGACCCACAGCACTGCCCCACGGCAGCAGAGAGCCACGGCTCATCCAGACACAACGAAGCAGGGATAAGCTGCTCTATGCCCAGCCGGCTTAGCATCAATTAAACAAGCCCCATGTAGAGTCTGGGCAGGTCCCCATGGTGTAAGTTTGAAGTTGCATACAGAAAAGAAAGAGGGAAAACTGCTCACAGTCAAAACACAGCACATATGTGACACAGAGGAGCATCCCGGGGATCTGTTTGCCTTAATGACATCCAGACTTCCTGCGTGGGGCTGAAGAACAAGACGTCAAGTTTCCAACTTCTTTATTAGCAGAGACAATTAAAAAAAACCAACCACAAAACAAAAGGTCCACAGGCCAAAACTAAAACACAACCAGACCGCGACAAACAGCCCACAGCACAAACCATGCTGCAAAACGGGCACGGATGTGCTGCAGCACCCTTAGTGAGAGCCATGCCATCGCTGGGCCTGTGTGAGGAGCGGGGTGCAGCCTTATCCAATCCCCCTCCTGGTGACCCAAACCAGCACAGACCACATGCCTAGCACCCATCCATCCCTACCAGCACCCACACCACACAGCTCAGCTGTGGGGCAGCACCCACATGCTGCCGAGCCCCCACAGCCCTGGGCTGGCATGAAAGCCATTCCTCGACATGCTGCTTCCCATGGGAGGCCAACGGGGAGCGCCAGCCAGGAGCGGGGGATCTCCAGCAAAGCCCACAGCCACACCTCAGGCCCGCAGGCACGGCTCCAGAGTGGGTCAGAGATGGGGCGGACACTGGCAGAGAGTTCTGCCTCCTCTTCCCCTCAGCTCACCCGTTGCAGAAGGTGCTGTTATTCAGGAGCACTCAGGACAAATTCTGGTACCAGAAATACGCAGAGCTGCCTGTCTGCTGGGGAAAAGCAGCCCGTCAGTTTGCGCTTCCTGCTCTCACAGCCCTCTCAGGCAGGGAATCGGGAACGCAGACGTGAAACGAGCAATTTCTCAGGTTTCCCCGCGTTGCCACTCCCCTGCCATTATTTACATTTAGCAGCATATTTCTGGAGCAGCTCTTGATCCTGTGCCCAGCAGGCTGCAGACATCAAGGGGAGGTTCGGCTGGCTCTGAAAGCACGACAGAAGAAAGCTATTGTGGTGGCTGGCTTCTCCTCCTCCCGGGTTTATTTTGATTTTCACATTTAAAAAAAAACAAAACCAACACTTCCCCTTAGAGCAGAGGGAAAAAATGCCAACGTCAGCAGAAATCCTGCAGCTTTCTGGAGGAAAGCAGAGCCACAGAGAGCGAGCAGCAGCTACAAGACCATCCCAATCCCATCTGCTCTCAGCGTCCCCACCACGAAGGGCTGGGCACGCATGGATGAATTGACAGATGCCCAGGAAACGCAGCCAGCACCACCAGCACCTTGAGTTCTGCTGAACTGGAGTTCTTATGGGGGAGACCTCCTTGTATTTACACTACAGCCAGCAAAGGGCTTTTTGTAAAGCACGTAACTTCCTGCAGAGAGGAAAACACGAGGCAGTGACCAACAAAGGCTGCTCAGAACAGCAGCTCAGCCTGGTTCTCCTGTGTGTATATAGCACACGTGTGATACTAGTTCAACGCAGTGACAAGGCTCTCATTCCTAGTGCTACAGACCGAATGCAGATGTATGTCTGGTTCAGCTGCTCAAAGGAAAATCAGGCCAGGAAGCATTTTATAACTTCAGGAAAAAAGATGTGAATTTAGAGCGTCCAAAGACGCAAGCTGGATTTCCATCATCGACATCTACAGCAGAGCATCACAAGAGCTGAAGTTCTTTCAGCACAGAACCCATGCAGGAAAGAGGCATCCCATTCCTCCCAAAACACATGCAGCGACTTTGCCACACTCGTGACCATTTAGCTCACATGCCCAGAGTCTGCAAAAATGCTACAACACCATTAAGTTCTGAGAGCCTAAAGTAAACTCGGTACCTTGTAAAACGAAGCACTGATTCAACATCCTGCAAGCACCTGGCCAGGAACAGCAGGGGAAGCGCGTTCCCATGGACTAATGCTTCCCAGCCACAGATGCCATGACCGGAGCAGAAGGCAAACACCAAATCCACCCGGGCAGCAGCCAGGAAAGCCTCCTGCCCCTGCACTCACCGATCCACGGCTTCCACGTCAAAGCAGAACCTCTTCTCAATGGAGTCGGTTTTCCGTCGTGTGCAAGATTTCAGGATAACGGCTTCATCCTCTCCCTGAGAAGAGACAAAATCACAGATAAGGAGGAGAACAACCCCTCCATATATGCCTGCCCCCAGGCCCCAACCAGTGCACTCAAACCAGAAGGGCTGTTTGGCAACATCAGCCACTCACCACCTGCTAGAAATGCATTAACACATATCCAAAATGCTTAGGCCAAAACCAAGAAACCATCCTTTCTGAATGCAGACTACATTTATGCACTGAGTATCGTACAACCCATGTTTCAGGCAGGCAGGGAGTGCTGGACCACAATTATTGGGCAAAGTTTTATTTTCCATTGCTGAACAATGCATCATAACCTTGGCTGTCAATTTTCACTCTGGCACTGGCTGCATATTTGGCAGCATTCTTCACACAGAAACTCTTAACAGGAGCAAGTATGCCTTAAGATGTTTATTATTTGACAAAGCAATGACAAAAGCATTCTCCCATCCAGGCATCTGCATCCAAGTACTGGATTTCCCCACGCCGAGCAGTGGTCAGGCAGGATCTGCGCACACTGCTGTCCTCTGCTGGAGGAAACCCCTGCCCAGACTCTGCCAGCACACAAAATTCTCCTGCAATTTTTAAAATCCCTTGATGACTCAATACAAGGCAAATTCTGAGCGAGTTCCTGGAGACAGCCACTTTTCTGTGCACTCTGTGCTGTTCCAGCTGACACCTTGGCTGACCACCCTGTTCCCTGACATCATCATTTTCCAGGAAACCTATTTAGGGCCACAGCAGGGACCCAGGAAGACAGATCTGAACGGTTTCTGCAAGGCTGCTCCTGGGGGGCCGCCTGCACTCTGCAGCTCATCAGCCTGGCTCAGCACTCTGTATTCAGGAACTGCCCTGCCCTGGAACCACCATCTGATGCCAGCTGCAGCCCCAGGAATGCTCGAGAGGCCAAGAGCAGGCAGAGCCTTGGGTGACCCCATCTCTTTACGCTGCACCAACGGTGCACCGGTTGGCACTAACAGACTGCAGGGCACCCAGCACACAGACAAGATGCTCAGCATGCTGCACATCCCATGTGGTCAAAACAACCTGAGCAGGACCAGCGTGCAGCTGCACAGGCTTCAGTTTGTAAAGCTTTCTCCTTTCACAAATAGAAATAAATAAAGGACAGATCTAAGACAAGAGGAGAAAGGCCGGTCTGTAACTACAGGCAGCTGCTGTAAACTTGTCCTTACAGGTAGCTGCATGCAGACACCGGAACAGAGAGTAGAGCATGAAACAGAGCTGTGTCTGAGTGGCTCCAAACAATCAGGAAACCAGCAGTGCTGCCAGGGCAGCTGACAGCTCCCAGACATCTGCTGGAGTTGTTTTTTTTGAGCAAGGTGCAGAGCTCATTCCCCGTGTGGCACTCACTCAGCTGAAGTGAAGGTGAGCCACCTGCTGGTGTCGGTGTCCCACTGCTGAGGTTGGCTCAGCCGGAGCAGCCTGTAGCTCTGCCCAGGGCCCTGCAGAGACACTCACCCCTTTTCCTCCAGATTTCTGGTCAAATGGCACCATGGTTATCCGCTTGGATTCCCGCTGGTACGTGCAGTAATGCTTCACCCAGGAGGTCCCAAAGTGACCTGCAAAGCAAACGCAGCTTTTACCCCCAGAACCAGCAGAGCTTCAATGCACACCCATTATTAAGCTGTAAGTTTAACCATCGTTTAACATGACACGTCTCTCTATCCACGATTCTTGTTGTACTTTACAGGTGGCATAAGCATTGCTAGCCCTTCTCGTTCAGGAGGAAGAGGAAGCAGACTCCCCAAGCACTGACTGATGCCACAACAGCCCACCGCAGGGCCAGTGCCCCCACATTCTGCATTCTGACAAATTTGCCTCTGTGTCCCAGCAGTGTCCCCCAACACCCACACCCCACATTGCCCTCAGCACCTACGTTTCTCCTGGACGTAGAGATACCCCTCCATGGTATAAGGACTGATGTTTTTGTGCTCGTGAGGATTCTCCTTCATCTTCTTCATCAGCGATTCAACCTCCGACCTCGTTCCTTCAAAGCGATTCCTCGTCTGCAAATCAAAACAGGAACAACCCTGCAGCACCCATGCGAAGGCTGAGACACTGTGCAGAAGAACTGCCACTCAGACTGTGTGCATGGCACAGCGTTATTTATAACAAAGAATTTGCTTCAATTACACTGTCAAGCCCTTTGCTTGAGGGCACACAGACACAAAGAGAGAAACCGTCTCAATTAAAACCTACCAAAGTGTGTGTGAGTTTTCTTTGCCAGACAGGCACAGCAACACAAACACTTACATTCTGGATGCTGATGGTCAGCTCTGTCTTGAAGTCACTGAAGTCCTTTGCAAGCTCATAGCCGTGGTGGTAGAAGGTGAAAAGCCCTTGCAGAAAGGCCAGCAGCTGCGTTGGGGCAAAACGAATCAAGACTGTCAGTGCAGCCCTCTCTTCCAGCCCACTTTGTCCTCCTGCCTCAATCAACCCCAATGACCCAACTGATACCCCAATTCCACCCCCCTCCTGCACTGGGAGCTGAGATGTGGCACCAAGCCAGGCAGTCACAGCCTGGTCATGCTTCTCTGGACTTGGAGCTATTCTTCATTCAGTAGGAATGACTCCTTGCAAACAGCAGAGGAGGTTTTGACTCTACCATGTATTTTTCACGGGTAGATAATAATAAGTTAAGGGAGAATGGCTTTAAACTAAAGGAAGGGATGTTTAGATTAGGTGTCAGGGGGAAGTTCTTTACAGAGGGAGTGGTGAGGTGCTGGCACAGGCGGTCCAGAGAGGCTGTGGATGCCCCAACCCCGAAGGTGAGAAAAGCCAGGTCAGATGGGGCCCTGGGCAGCCTGATCCAGTACTTATCTAGTGGCTGGCAGCCCTGCCTGTGGCAGGAGGGTTGGAACTCGACAATCCTTGGGGTCCATTGCAACCCAAGACGTTCTATGATTCCTGGAGGAGCAGTAGAGGACTTAGCAGTGAGCAAAAGGCAGGTCCTACAAAGCTTAATTCTTTTCTCGTTCTGTCAATCCTGCACTCTTTTGCCCTGAAAGTTACAGTCTCTCCAGCTTCTATTTTTCTGCTCCCACTTGAGCCCATTCCCTTTGCAGCTGTCAGCAGGCCCCACGGCGCAGTCCCTCACAATAGAGATGCCCACAATACATACAAAGAAACGCTTTGCGTGTCTGGGGCTGAGCCCCACACCAAGGGCTTTTCCTAAGCACATGTCCTGCCCCTGCCCCCAAACCTGTCCTACAGTAACAGGGATGCAGGGACACCCCATGCCCCAGCCTGGCTCCCCGTCAGTCCTCACACAGTAACACATCCCTCAAGCAGTTTTGTGGGATGAAAAGGGTTGGGTTCACTTACAGGCTCCACAAACTCAAACATCTTCCTCTCCTGGACCTCTTGCACCTTGAAGACATACTCCAGGGAGACCTCGTAGAAATGCTGCCGAACCAGGTCCACCTGGCTGTCTGCCTGCAGGCACCAGGAGATGAAAGAGGAAACACGAGGTCAGCGTGGCTGGGAGCAGCCAGCCCCACAGCACGGGATAGCAGGGGCTGATGGGGGTGCGTCCACGTGGGATGCCAACTCAGCTTCAGACATCAGTCTGGGGCTGGACAGATGGCACGGCGATTAAATAGAAACCTGATTCACATGAACAGGCTCCTTCTTCAGCTGAAAAAAAGCGTTTTCGATGACTCACGTTCACACCTCCCTGACAGCTGGGTAGAAGAACACGAATTAAAAGTGGGAGAAAGGAGAAGTTGCTGCATACTTGACAACGAAAGGCAATTCTGCACTTTCTGGAAAGCAGTGCATCGAGAGGCTGCCAGCAGCACCGTGGGCTCCAGGCAGTGACACACACATCCCACCATGCCACCAGTGAGGGCTGCTCCTGTGCCGGGCCAGGGGACAGCACATGCCCTCTGCTTGGGAGAGAAAGCAGAAGGGAGCAGAATTTGGGATATTCCCCAACAGAAGGGCCTCACTGTGTGCTGGAGCAGAGCCGCTGCACTGATAGCAGGGTAAGGAATACAGGCATCCCCCTCCTCCTTCCTCAGCTCACTCCTGATTTTCCATAGGACACGGCCATAGAGTGGAACATTTTCCCCGAGACCTGCCTGCAGCACTTGTGCTGGGTGTCTGTGGTGAAGAGGCTGAGTTTTCAGCAAACTGAGCACTAAATGTGATGCAACAAAAGAACTTCGCCAGGAGTTAAACAACAGATTAGACTCAGGGTGTTATTTAATTGGTCAGCAGCCAGAGCAGCAGAGAATTCCCATGGTTTCCTTCTCTTCTTGCTCTGCTGCAGCAGTCACGCATGTGGCCACCACCACCTTCCAGATGTGGACAGCAGGAAGAGATTAGGAAACATAAAACACCAAACTGCCCTGACACAAACTCTCCTCTCTGGCTGTCAGGGTGTCTAAGAGGGCTTCAGGCTGGTAATAATCAGCTGGCGTTGGTTTTCCTAAATCATTACCATTTCATCAGCACCCTTCCTGAGGACATCTGCCATAACTGCTTTTTGTAATGTCTCAGGCGAGAAAGATCCCAACTCCTGAACCCAGGAGCAGCAGCAGCTGGTTCCAGCTTTTGTAGCAAAAGTCGAAGTGTGAGGTGGAAGATGCCAGCAGATGGCACCAGCATCCAGCACTGCTAAATACACCAGCAGCCCGTGCTGCACAGCACAGCACACGCAGCCAGCATTCTGCATGGCACAGCACCACACACAGCATCTGCGTGGTACAGCACAGCAACACCCCACACTTAGCTGCCCTGGCTCCTGTATTGCTCCCATACCCTGGGCAGGACATGACATCACAGCTCCGTAAAACGCTGCTGCAGCCACAAGTAGCTCCTTCTCCATAAAGAAATCCTTCCACTCCAGTATCTCTCCATAGAATTTTAAACATGAACCAGAATATGGGTTTAAAAGGTTACTGAAGAGCCACAAGAGCAGAGCTCTGCACCTGCTGGGATGTAGGGATGCTGCCACAAAGCAAAGTGCTCACAGACCCGGAACATCCCTGCCAGGACAGCCAGGCACGGCAGCCCAGATGCAGACCCCTCTCCAGCCCTGATTTGGTGGAAGATGACTCCGTGCCACAGCCGTACCAGTCTGCTCTCTTGAGACAGATGGGTCCGCACACAGTTGGGCCACAAACAGCTGAGCTGCCCCAGTGCAGAGATCATCACTGTGCCCACCGAGCCCTCGGTGACATGCCAGCACTCTGCCCAGCAGCGCAGCGCCTGCCCCAGCCCTGGGCAGCTCAGGAATTCCAGACATGGGAGCAGTGATTGCAAAAGCAGGTTTCTCATCCAGTAAGAGCATTTGGCACAGCAGCAAACTACGTCCCAAGTAACAGGCTCTTAAAGCAGTTTAGAAGCACTAAGCCTGATCACTCTTCCCACGAAGCTCAAAGCCAGTGCAGCCACTTCTAGAGAAGGAGAATAAAAACGTACATGATTTGTTATGGCACATGGGAAGCCTGCAGCAGAACCAGTTCCCCTACTGCTACACTCTTTAATTACAAGCTCTCTATCCTTTTTGATTGCTATCCATTTTGGGATCGCTCTGACTTACTCACCAAAACAGCTCTGTCCCCTTTGATTAAAGGAAGAGGGAAAAACCTGCCACTCACAGTCAGCACAGGAAAAAAAGTAGCTTATAGCCAAGGAAACCAACACTAGAAGATGCAGAAAATACTCAAAAACCTCAATGCAGTTACTGCTAGACACTGAAAATTCGAGGTTGCTCTCACCTCCTGGAGCTGGGATTCCTTCTTCTTGGAAGACAAGTTTAAGTGCTTTTCTAGGACACCACAGTACTTCTCAGTCTCCTTGTCATATTTCTTCTTGGCATCCTGCAGAACAGAACAGTGTGAGCCTGGATCCAGCAGCACCACAACAGCCGAGGAGACCCAGCAGCATGCTGAGGACACCGCCCATGGGACCCACACGGGAGCACAGCCCCCAGCCCAGCATTCAGCTTCCTGCCCTGCTCAGAGATGCCCGTGCAAGGCCACGCAGCTGGCTTTGTTTAAAGTTTGTTCCAAAAACTGATAGCAGCCCTAAAGCCACACCCAGAACAGACACGCTTTGAAGAGCCCAAGTTGGACAGGGAAGGGAGGCAGCAGCAGGGAGCAGCTCCCTCATCTGCTTCTCATTACCCAGCTGTGCACAGCTCCAAGGCACTGATGGATGCTGGACTGGCAGCCACGAGGTGCTGCAGAGGGACGGGCAGCAGCACCCAGCCCACGGCCCTGTGTGGGGCAGGACAGCAGCCCTCTGCAACGTGCAGAGCTGTCAGCGCTCGCAGACAGCCATGCAGAACACTGCAGCCCCAAACACACCAGCACCAGGGCACAGAGGGAACAGCTGGGCTGACTCCTGGACTAAAAGCAGCATCGTGCAGAGCTGCACTCCCAGATTGCCCGACCAGGGGACATCCAACCAGTGCCTCAAAGGCAGCAAGGCCCCGTGTACCGACAGAACCCAGCACATCAATAGCCAGTGCTGCTTCTGTAGGATCCCCCTGGAGGTTTTTCTCCTCTGGCTGCACAAGTCAAACCAGAGCAACCTTAGGACAGGACACACCACTGCAGTGCAAACAGCCCCGCTGGCTGGCACGTGCTCCCTGCTGTCAGCAGCAGGCTGTTATAACAACAGCAGAGCCGCGGGCAGTGCTTCGAATTCCAGAACAAAGGCAGGAAAGAAAGGCGGGCAGGGACAGGCTGTCCCACAGCAGCCTGGGACACATGGGTGTGTTCCCGGGTTCGCCCTGCCAGACAGTGCCCAGATCTCCAATGCACTGGGGCCGGGTGAGCACAGAACTGAAAGGTTTCAGCTGACTGAGAGTTCGGAGACTGAGGATTCACCTTGCAAAACGTTAATTCTGGTTTGGAGGAAGAAAAAAAATCTAACTGTTGGTCAACAGCTCATGTTGGCGCATTACTTGCTTGGGGGTGAACCAGGAAACACCAAGGCACTTCACGTAAGCCGGATCGTCCTTGTCTCCCTCCCACACCCGGGGCCAGCAGAGCCCGTCCCTGCGGCACATCAGATCCCAGACAGCACCAGGCAGCTCTGAGCACTGCCCCGAGCCATGAAGAGGCTCACAGACCCAACAGCGATGTGAGGCCAAAGCCACCTACCTTAGCAGCACCAATCTGCTCCTTGCGGAACTTCTCCAGCGGTGTGATCAGCACCTCGCTGGCGTTCTCAATCTGTTGGACACAGAGTCACCCTGTGGTCCCCAGCTGGGCAGCACTGTGCACGTGGGCACTTTGTGTCCCACTCAGAGCTGAGAGCTGTGCTGCTGACCACCTCTCTCTGCTCAGTCCCTGCAGACACACCAGCACTGGGGCTGCTGTACCAAGGATCCCTCCCTACAAACTGCCATCACCGCCCACTGGAACACACACACTTCACCTTCCTCCAGCTGCACATCAGATTAGCGGCCAGAAGGCAGCTGAAGTGCTGCTATCAGACCCGCTCTCCATCCCCAGGCTCCCCACTCCCAAGTCCATACCATCCGCATCCGCTCATCTTCCAGGTTCCGCAGCACTGTGGCAAACTCCTGCAGAGACTTGGCTGTAAGGGACACATGGACAGTTTCAGAATTTAACAGCATTTTCTTTTTTAATTCTGGACATCCAAGTAGCCATAGCATCACATTTCTAGCACTCATTGCTGCTCAGGCTGGCTCCTGCTGCCCAGCAGCTCCTATGGCAGGCTGGCTGCTATGGGCATCAAGGAGCAAGGGGCCTGTCCCAAATGTCCAGGGAAATAACACTCGAACACAGCAGGCACGGTGTGTGCACTTGAGACAGAGCCTCACTTGCATAAGAAAGCTATTTTGGCCAAGAGACCAGCACAAATCAGCAAGAAAATCAGGACTAAATCTCATGTGCTCTGTTGGCTCCAGACTACATACATGCGCAATGAACTCTGAAAGTCCAGCCCAGGCAGAAACAGGGTAACACTGAACAAAGCAGGTGAAGCTGTCCCCTAGCACTGGGAGATGCTGGGCGCAGTCCTGCCAGACCCTCACAGCATCGCCCTCTGAGCGCTCACCCACAGTCCTGCAGTGGCTGCCTGGACGTCCTGCAGGCATGTGGCCAAGCTGTGCTCCCCTCCTGCAGACCACAGCCACTGGCAGTGCCTCTAGCCATGACTACATCTCCAGATCCTTGCCCTCACATGTGAAAGGGCAAATAACAATCTAGATGGTTTCTAGATATGGCCTTCCATATCTAGGAAGGAGTCTTCCTCCTTTCTTTCTCTGGTAGAGGCAGACTTCAGGTGAGAAGCTACAGCTTCTCTCCTAGCGAAGGCTCTGAAGTTGATGAACAAGGAGAAATGCACTGCTTCCAGAGAGCAGGGAGTGGTGACCCTCTGGGTCCCCCCATGTCCGTGCTCGTCCCTACGCATGCACTGTTCTGCTTGGGGTTGGCAGCACCATCAGAGCCCCCACCAACCCACCGTCAGCTCTCACCTATGCAGATCTCATCATCTGTTTCAGCATCGCCGATGCAGCGGAACTTAAATTCATTGAGGGAATCCGCAAACTTGCGCTTGGCCGACGACAGATCTGTGAGAGGAGAAATGCAGACATCAGCATGGGAGCGGGCAGCAGCACAACCCGGCACAGGGTCCCACCAGCCCTCCTGGGAAGGTTACACCAAGGGCCCTCCGTGCAGGGCAGGCACCAGAGGTGAGGGCCCACGGCTCCGCACTGCCCCAGAGAGCGAGCCCTGCTGCAGCACAGCTCTGTTTACAGGCACTGCTGCAGAGAACGAGTGCTTTACAAGTCACAGACTCTCTCCAAGAGCCGAATCCTATTAAGTTATTACTCGAGATGACCTGAGCGGATCCAGGCCTGGCTTTTCAAACCGGCCCCATGACCCTGCACACACATCCCCAGGAACCACAAAGCTACAGGCCTGACAGGAACTTGTTCTGAAGCAGCACAGGGACCCCAACCATGCTAAATTCCCCAAATTCCCCATGCGCTTCGTTCAGTGTTCTCAATATCCAGGGAGCTTTTCCCTTTCCGTGCAGAGAACGAAACCGTGCGTTCACACAAAGACTGCTCCTCCCAGGCACTGAACACCAAACGAGAGCTGTGGAAGAGATCAAGCATTCTGCTTTTGTGGTGGAAGGTGGGAGCTGAAAGCTTTCTTCAAGCACTAAAGCTGCTCTCCCAGCACCTGCTTCTATCCCCAGGGCTAATCCTGCCTGCAACTCAGCCCGGGAGCAAAGCTGCACCCAGCACAACGTGCTCCTAATGCAGCAGGACCACAGAGGAATGAGGAATGGACAGCAGGGTGCAGTGCCTGGGGGTGCTCCAGGAGTGACTGGGGGTGCTAGGTTTGCCCCCAGCCCTCCAGATTGATGCTGACACCACAGTGTCAGAGGGCAGCATCTGCACAGCCCAGGATGTGCAGCAGCACCCCCAGCACAGCACCCAGCTTTGCCCCACGGAAGCTCAGAGGCTTCAGCCTGGCGCAGAACAGCCTCCTGCTCCTCTGGTATGGTAAGGAGGAGGATGTTAACGAGGAGATGACGCTAATGACTCAAGGAGCCATTTCCTCTCTGCTGGCTCCATGCTGACCCTGGCCACACTTGGGCTGCAGACACCCTGACCAAGGCCGCTGTCTCCCCACCGCAGGCCAGGCAGGGGCAACCCAAACCCAAGACGTTTTTGCACTGGTCTACAGCACTTATAAATAGGCATGGGAGAGGCCAAGAGAGGAGATAACCCCCAGTGCTGCAACGATAAAGGAAAGTCACTCCCAGCCGCCCACTGAGTGACACAACCAAGGCACCGCGGTGCAGCAGCTGCTAAAAACAGCATTGAGCTTGGTCAGAAATAGAGCTGGGCAGCACCCAGGGGCCCAGACCCCATTGGCACACCTCACATCCCACTGCCCATCATAATTTTGGGGCAAACTCCTCCTGTGTAAGGAGCACGAGCACGGCAGCAGCGTGCTGGGAGGGAAGGGTTGACTCAGGCCTGTTTTCTCCCCAGGCATGAGAGCAAACCAAATCCTGCAAAAACTGGAGAGAAACTTCTGCCCTCCCTCATGCGTGAGCAAAATCCCGCAGCTCCCCACGCACATGAGTCAAACCTGGGCTGCACACGTTCTGCCTTTAACTTCTCTGTCTGCCTTTGTCAGTTGACCAAAAAATGAGGTAAAACCACCACAAAGGCAGAAAAACCCCACAGGCCGAGCAGTGCAGCTGGCCAGGGGTGCGGGCACCGCCGGGGGCTGGTCCTGCCATGGCCATTCCCCACCAGCTCAGAGAGCAGCAGGGAGGCCCACCACCCGCAGGGATGCCCCTGGCAGCCCAGCCACAGCTTCACCAAACCCAAATTCTGCCAGCAGGCTCCCCACAAAAGATGCTGGCACACGACCCCATTGCTGCTCAGCACTTGAACCTTTCTTGCGCTCACAAACACCCCCTGCAGTGTGGGGCAGGGAGCTCAGCTGTACTCTCTGCTCCTCACATCAGCACTTCTAAGTAAACCCCAGCTGCCAAAACACAGCTTCTTTAAAGACCCCAGGAGCGAGGCAGGCACCCAGCACATGTCCTCACATCAAAAATCTGCCATGGTTCCACGCAGTGCTTTTTGTATGCCAGCAGGCAGACCAAAGCAATAAAATCCAGCGCCACAGCAGGACTCCCCACTCCTTTAAGGCTTCTTTCTGGCACAACAGAAGCTATCAGAAAGCAAGTGCAACATTCACCTGAGAAGAAGAGGAGTTGTGAACAGCAAACGCACGGCACATTGCTGAGTCTCCTGGAGTTCATCCCAACCCCTCTGTCCTGCCTCAGCCGGGCACACACCTGGGCTGCCAATATGGGTCATTGCAGTCAGCTACGCACCGTGCTAAAACGACGGCAGGACCAAGTCACCAAAGTTCTCCATCTGTCTGTCCTCTCCGTGCTCTGGGGAAGGGCAGCTCCTGCCCCACGTTCTCCCTCATCTGCTGCGGGTTCCTCTCCCTTCTCCATCCCCATCCCGGGTGTTCAGGACAGGCTGTGCTGATGGCAGCACCGCAATTCCTTAGCAAAGCCAACTTGACAGGAAGCAGGCACAGGCACTGCGTGCTGGAGGTCCAGCTGCGTAACTATGGCAACAAGCAATCCAAATAAAATGCCCTTTAAAAAGTGATGTATTGGCTTGTTACTGCAATATAGGGTTACCAGCTAAAACATTTACGGGAACAGCTACAGTAGCGCTCCACTCCCTGAGAACTCTGCCCTTCCTGGAAGAGGGTTACAGCTCACACAGGGTACCAGAATGGGAGAAAGCTGCAGGCAGCTGGGGACGGGCGGCAAGGAAGGAGATGGCGGTGACCCTGCTGATGCAGTGCAGAAGACAGGGCCGTGGGCAGGCTGGGAGGGCTGCAGCAGCCCCATCCCAATGGCAGGCTATGGCAAGCTCCAAGTGACAGGGAAGAGCCCGTGGGTATCCAGAAGCTATGTGTGGGGCAGGTGGCCCCAGCCAGGACCTCAGCAGGGATCCCCAGCCACGTCCATCATTCCCCGCAGCCCTGTGAGCGGCACCAAGTCCTGCATGCCCGGGTCCCGCCAGCAAGGCTGCTAGCATCCTCAGAGGCACAGCTGCCAAGGGCAGGTCGTGAACAGCTCAGCTCATCTCTGCCTGCAGAGCTCCTTCCAAAGCTCACAGAGGCCAAAAGCACAGCAGGCAGCAGCCCTCCAGCCTGGGGGTCCCCCGTGCTGCCCCCTACTCATCTCTGCTCCCCGGTGCCACCTCCTCACCCCCACCATCCTGAAGAATCGTCCACATCATCCTTCTGCAAAGCGGCTTCTGTTACCACCTGGGGACTGGAGTGCCTGTTTCCCAAACACAAAGCCCCTCCCCAAGACATGTGGAAATAATGCAGAAGGGAATTTATAGAACATAGAAACTGATTTCACAACTCCACCCCCAGCACAAGGAAAGTCCCATCCCGGCCCTGTGGCACATGGAGGCAGCAGGCAGAGCTCCTGCAGGGCAGCACCAGGTTCCTACCAGGAAACACCGCATTGCTGCACAGGGCAGAAGCACGGGTCTGTTTGCAGCCGGCTGCACGCAGCACAGCAGGCTCAGTGCTCACCCTGCCCAAACACTGTGCATGCTTGCAGCGGCATTGCTACACTTCCTCTGAAGAAAATTGCTTAATAATCTATATTTAATGCTCACTTAACAACAGGAACCGCACCGCCTGCCCCTTCCTTCCCCGCCACAGGGAGCAGGCAGCTCAGCTGGATGGGGCCAAGCAGCTCCAGCACAGCCCCACGGGAGGCTCCTGGCAGTGCAGGGGCTAATTCCACACCAACTGCCCTCACCCTGCTGCTTCTCCACAAGGAACACTGCTCACCCCCGCACAAGTATCCCTCATCTGGCTACACCAACCGCAGAACCACGGAGGTTCTCAGATCCCTAAGTCCAACCCCAGCACCATGCCCACAGACCGTGTCCCCCAGTGCCACATCCCCACAGCTCTGGAGCACTTTGGGGCAGTGCCTCCCACTCCCTGGTAGCTGTGCCAGTGCTGACTGCCCTCTGGATAATAATTTGTTCCTAATATCCAACCTGAAATTTTTCCTAATAAGCAACACCCACACCCAGCCTGTCGATGGCTGGTCTCACAGCGCTCACTGACAACTACAAAGACTGGAAACCATCAGCTGCTCCCTCGCTGACATGTTTCTTCCAGCTTCTCAAAAAAAAAAAAAAAAAAAAGCATCTGCTTCCCAAACTATCTGCCAGTTACCATGAACAATCACTGGGGCACAAGTCCTGCACAGACAGCCCTTCCAACAGCCACAGGCTCAGGTGCTTCAGTGCTGCCCTGCAGCTCTGCAGGAGGAAGAGGTCGGGGAGCTGTTCCAGCCAACCCCACCAGCAGTGCTGCCCCGTGGGGCTCTGGGGGCCATTGGAGCAGCATGAGGCTGCCCTGCAGCTCCCAGCACCCGCAACCCCTCCCTCCACCCAGGGCCGGGCCCAGGACTGTGTGAGCAGAGCAGCATCAGGAGAGCCCATGAGGGACTTCTTGGAACATCTCAGCAGCAGTCGTCCTGGCACAGAGACCCAAACACACCCACTGCAAATAAGCTCACTTCAGAGCTGGTCCTGATCCACGCTGCATCCACGCAGGGCCAGAACTTCAACGCAGAAGCCCCTCCTGGCAGGGCTGGGGCTCACAGCTCTGTGCTCAGGGCAGGACAGCCACAGCCCTGATCCCATGAGAGCTCACAGCCCCAGAGCCCACGCCAGGCCGGGACCCCACACAGCTGTCATCACAATTAGCCATGACTCATTTAATAAACAACCCATCCGCCGGGCGGCTGCGGTTAATCAGTGATTTAGTGTGGGGCTACAGCTGCTGGCAGGTCCTGCCTTTGGTTCACCGCTCAACTCAAAATAAAAACCACAGAGAGAAGAGGGGTCAGTGTGCTAGGGAAGGGACGGCGCACAGAGCCCTGCAGGTACAGCCGTGCTGCCCACCCTCAGCAGTGCAGCCAAACCCCTTAAGCCCGGCCAGGAGAGGCTGCACCGCGTTCAAAGCTCAGCGA